CAACTAGCAGCAGCCTCTGAGTCCAGATCCCGCGTATGGCCTGATCACTAGAGGAACAGCAGTAGAGAGTCTCCCTTTGAGTGTCAATAGAGGAAAGCTGGGTCCAGCACATCCCCAACACAGAGTTTCCACAATGGGGGGCATGCCCAGACACAAAAGGATTTTGATATTGTACCACACTGCTGACTAATGCCAAAGTTCCCTGTTCTCCCTTGGAAATACTAAGTCCATCAGAGCAACTCAGAGGACCATGGCATAGTAAAGTCATCTACACAGGCTTCATCTGATTCACAGATTCATAGAGGGAGCCAGCCCCTGGAACTCCTGCCAAGTCAGGCCTTGTGCTGAGTGTCGTGTGTGCCTGCTGCCTATGTGGTCATTTGTTCTTAGACCTCCAGGAAAGCTTGGGGCAGGAGGACAGTGGTCACCCAAGATTTATCCAACCAGGGGCATGCATGCAGCCACGGGGGATGACAGAGTGTGAGAGTGAAATAAAACAGTGTGTCTAAAAGATGCCATTGTTTGGAAATCAGGCCCTTGGACTGGCAGGTCATTAACTTCCTCCACTTGCTTAAGTTCCTCGTGTGGCCCTTGAGGCAGGAAATCGTACGCAGTGGTCATTTTTTTTCCCCCTCCAATCTCAGAGGAAATGTAACGGGTATGAGCCAGTGGCACAAGTCATATATTAGGAGACCAGAGCGGGCCTACATAAATCCTTTTCTTTAAAGTTATTTAACTGTTTTGAAAATGGTTTCAACAGAAGTAATTCCAATTGCACCAGAAAGGAAACCGGAGTCTTAAAGAAAAATAGACTCCCTTTGCTGAGAGGGCAAACATATCAGTATGCAGAGAAACAAACCAGTCTCCTGTGTCTTATTTCCTCAGCAAACCCACTGAAACGCTTGCTTTATGTCTCGAAAAAGCCAATAGACAAAGAATTCTGTGGCCACTAAAAATTAAGACCTACAACTGGTTTGTAACCACTTTAAAAGGGCAGGTCCTATTTTTCTTTTATTCACAGTATCTCATTGTGAGACTGCACATATTATGAATAGAATACATATTTGTTGTGTGTGTTTTTTAATGATTGAAAGCCATCCTCTCTGGGGAAGGATTTTCCATTTAAGGAATTAGAAAACTATTTCCCCCCATGCTTCTATGAAAAAAACTAAGACATCGTGTCACAACCCAGCCAAGTCCTTCACAGAATAATATTTTTCCAATAACCTCACAGTGGCACTTTTGGTTATGATGTTTCTTTTTAGACTCTTCCAAGAGTTAATGTTTAAAATAAGAACCCTTATGGCCACGAAAGATGAGAACTTTATGCCATTTCAAGCTGACTAATTCAAAGTCACTTGGTAAAAGTGACTTCAGTCTTGAGAACCGGAAGATCCGAATGCACAAATGAGAGGGTCCTGGTGAAAGCACTGTCACCTGCAGAAAGTGGAACTAGTGATCAACCCGTTTTATCCCGGATTCATCAGATCCCGGTGTCCACGTGAGAAGATCGTGACGAGCTGCATTCTCTGGGGATTCTCACACTATTCACTCCCTCAACTCCTTGAAGTTTTGCTCAAATGTCCCTTCAGTGTGGCCCTCCCAGGACACTCTATTTTCCAGCAAGACTCTCCCTGCCCTGGCTAGAGTGTGGCATCTCCCTTTCCTATTCCTAGCTCCCTGCAGCACTTGTCTGATGTGCATGTGTTTGGTTTGTTTGCTTGCTTTTTGTTTGTTTTGTGGTTTCCCTCGGTGAGTAGCCTCTAGTCGAAGCTCCTTGAGCACAGAGATGGTCCATCTGTCTTGTCCCTCTTTTGTGCCCATCACCTGGCACATATGAAGTGCTCGGTCAGAGCTTGTTATAAGTTAGGGCAATGTTTGTTTGAAAATTACTGCCTACATATATTCCCAACTATCGTGGCGACCCAAAAAGCAATTTCACATCCATTATTTTATTTATTTCTTATAACAACAAGGTGTGTTAAGGAAGGATTATTATCCCAGTCCAGCAGATGAGGAAATGGGCTCAGAGAGTGTCATGACTTAGATGAACTCCCTCTCCCTCTCTTCCTCTCTCTCCCTCTCCGTCTCTCCCTCTCTCCTTCTCTCCCTCTCCGCCCCCTTCTCTCCTTTACTGTCTCCCTCGCTCCTTCTCTCCTTCCTCCACTCTCCTTCACTCTCTCCCTCTCTTCAAGGGCCAGTGGGTGGTGGGCTCCAGAACCAGGGCAGGGACTTTCCTTGAAGTGCTGCTCTTGCCAAGTGGCGAATCTTTCTGGCTGGAGGAATCCAGGCTTCCCGTCGGGCACAACTGCCCGGGTCTCTGAGCAGTGGCTTCCAGAATGAAAATGACAACAGGATTGGATGTAGCATATGCATCCTCCATCAATAAAATAACCTGTTACAGGCAGTTCTGAAAGTGTGAACCTGCAGCACCTTCTCAGCGAGAGCCCGCACTTGTTTACCCACTCCTGCCTGGGGAGTCACTGTGCTGAGCCACAGGTCCATGCAGGGCCATGATGCCCCTTCTGTGCTGGGACTGGTGCTGTGCCTGCTGGTGTGTCAGTCCTTTCCCCGCTGTTTTCTGTGTTGAGTCACGCTGTGGTCCGGGAGGCAGTTCAAGTGATGGTGAAAGGTCAAGACCCAGAAGCAGACAGAAGCCAGAGGATGGTGTGCTGGGGAGCTCCTTGGGGATGTTCTCTGTCTCCTCATCGGTGACCCTGGGTGTGTGGCATCCAGTTTTGATGAACAGAGCCAAGAAGACCAGCAAAGCATTCACCCTGGGGATCCCTGTGAGTTTCCTGTGTCCTTGTTCATGGTTTGTTATGCTTTCCCTTCGTGGCCTCCACATCACTGTCTGGAGGCTGGAAGTCTGAGGCGTGTCTGGGGCTGGGTTCCAAGACTGAGAGGGAGTCAGCCGGAGACTGCCCCTGCTCCAGTGGCTGCGGCCCCTGTGGTGCTCCTGGGCTTGAGGAGCACCACACATGGTGCTCCTCACATGGTGATCATCCTCACATGGTGATCCTTCTGTGTATGCATCTACACTCAGAGGTCCCTTTTTATAAAGACAACAGTCATGCTAGACTGGGTGCCCACCCTACACCAGAGTCACCTCGTTTCAACTAATTATACCTGCAATGACCCTATTTTCAAAGAAGGACATATTCTGAGGACCTAGGGGTTAGGGTTTCAACATATGCATTTTGGAGGCACGATTCAACTCATTGCCCTGGCCTCATCACTTTGAGCTGCTTTCGTCCTGCACTCCATAAGTGTCAGGGTAGGGCACTGAGTCCGTTGGATAGAAAGACACGTCTGCACAAGGTTCAGAAATGGACCTTCCAGCAGCTAAGAGGTTTTTTGAAAATTGTTTATCTGGCCACAGTTTACCAAAAGGAGGAATTCAGACTCCAGGTGGTTCCTCACTGGGCTGTGGACTTGGTCCTTGGATCGGGAAGAGACATCGTGTCAAGGTGGATATTTTGTTCAGGACTTTCAAGGAGGTTTCTCCATGGGTAGAAATAGCATCAGTATCTTAATCTGTGAATAAGGACTTAGATGTGCTATTTATAAGTTAACATTTTAAGGATTTAATTGCTTTAAGTCTGAGTGTTCTTTTCAAAGTTCTAAGTGCAACTTTTAATCTCATAAATGTGACCTGAGAGATATGTGTTCATCAATAATTCTCCTTTCTTTCTGATATGTGTAGAATATGGTTATGAAGTAATGAGTGTAACCTACACATGCATATAGACTACTGTATTTCAGTGAGAATTCTCATTTTTAAAATTTTAATACCTACATTGCAATGCTATGCTTTACACATCCATATTTCAAAGCTGATATTCCTTCCACAATCACTTGCTTAGTAGGGTCAGAATTTGGAGTGTTGTTTTTCAGGATATACATACTTATTTGAGCATTTAAGTATATGCACTTATAATGTATTCTCTGTGTGTTTGGTGCTGACTTTATGAGTTGATAAATCTCAGGGTTAACCATGATGGGACAGGAACAATTGTAGAGCTTGAGATTTTAGAGGTCTGGAAACATTCGTTGCATGAACGGATACGATGGGCAGAGGCTGAAATGAAGCCACGTCTTTTCAAATCCATTTGAACCAATGAAATAAGTGACCCACAGTGGATTGAATGCTATGTTCAAAGACTGTGAAGGCAAGCTTTAATTTTATGTCATTTTACTTTCCATGAGTTGAATTTTCTTTTTCACCTGGACTCTCGCCTAAGCCTTCTGCATTTCAGCTGGTGATTTCAAGGGCTCTGTAATGAAGGCCTCTGAGAAAGGCAGGCTGAGAGACAGGGAGTCTTGAGCAGGAATTTGCATAGGGCGGGAGGGCACCAGAACATCTGGCCGTGGTCCCGCCCGGGACCCTTGGTTAGCGCTCATTAAATTCACATTAATGCGTGTACTGCTCTCAACGTGTCACCACCGTCTTGGGGTGGTTGCTTTCTCCCAGACCGATGGCATTGACTTTGGGGCCCTACCCCTCGTTGTTTACTTGCCAATGGCATTTGACCTAGGGTCAGACCTGTATTTAACCCTTTCCTGTAGGTCAAAACCAAATGAATTGGGTGAGCGTTCCACTGGAAATGCATCATCTGCGCTGCAGGTGTCCCCCAAGGGACATGAGCTCCAGGTGGAAGCATTTTAAGATCTGCTCCCGGGCCATCTCTGAAGAAGCTCCGAGGGTCAGGGGGCAACTCCAAGACGTCCCACGTGGCGAGGGCCTGGAGGTGGAGGCAGCAGGTGCCCACTCGGGGGGCTTTTCCCAGCAGCCTGGGGAGATTTCAAAGAGGCCCCTTTGGAGATAATGTATTCATACATTCATGAGCACTTATCTCAGGCATTCGCCGTGGACTGCTTGACTTAGAAGTTGCCCTGAATGATTAGAATGTTACCCTCTACCCCTACCTCCCACCACCAGCCAAAGGCTTTGATTTGGAGGAAGGAGAAGATTGCATGTTTCTCTTTGTTTTTTCTAGAGGATGAAGAAGATGAGGAAATGGTGGAGCCGAAAGCCGGCCATAATTCAGAGCTGGAAAATCAAGACCAAAAGCAGGAGGTCAAGGAAGGTATGATGTGGGCGATGTACTGAGTAACTGGCTTGTTGCCTTGTTTGACTTTGCCAGCGTAAGGGAGTGCAGGGGTAAGTCAACATTAAACTTATATCCCTCTGTGGAAAGTTTTTTGTGATCTGTTCAATACGTTACACTTAGCAACATAAACTGTAATCGCCAAAGCAAGAATCATTGACTTCTTGACTGTTATAAGCAAACAAAATGCAAACCATCTGCAATTCCAGTAACAACTTGAGTTACAGTTCCAGCATAATTATTACTAAATTGTGATAATAGAAGATACTTGTTATCAGTTGTCCTGTGATCCCAGTCACTCCACTGTATGACAGTAGGGAGTAATGATAATAGTAAAGGACTAGACATAATTATTTTGTCAAAAAATTCTGAAGTACTTTCATGTGAACTACATAGAAATATTAATAGTGACCATTGCAATTAATTATACTGTCCAGGTTAGACATGGTAGCTTGTGCCTGTAATCCCAGAACTTTGGGAGGCCAAGGCGGGAGGATCACTTGAGCCCAGGAGTTCAAGACCAGCCTAAGCAACATAGTGAGACCTCATCTCTACAAAAGCTAAACAAAATTAGCCAGGCATGGTGGTGCATGCCTGTAGTCCCATCTACTCAGAAGGCTGGGGTGGAAAGATAGCTTGAGCCCAGGAGGTCAAGGCTGTGGTGAGCTGTGATTGTGCCATTGCACTGCAGCCTGGGTGGCAGAGTAAGGCTCTGACTCAAAAAAGAAAAAGCACAGACTCTGGAGCCAGACTCCATAGAATCAAATCTTGCCTCTGTTACTTGTGAGCTGTGTGATCTCTACAGGCTGTTAATTTAACTTTTTTCACCTCATTTTCCCTATCTGCAAACATAGATAATACCTACCTCTTAAGGTTTTGTTTTGTTTTTTTAATAAGACTCAGTAGGATTAGTATGGAACAATACGTAGCACAAAGCAAGTGTTGTGTAAATGTTTGCTAAAGGCTAGACATGGTGGCTCATTCCTGTAATTCCAGTGCTTTGGGAGGCTGAGGTGGGAGGATTGCTTTACGCCAGAAACTTGAGACCAGCCTGGGCAACATAGCAAGACCCCATCTTTACAAAAATTAAAATTAAAAAATGAAAGTTTCCTAAATTGTCGTTAGTAGTCTTGCCTTACAGGGTCTGGATCTGTAACCAGACTCTGCCCCAATGGGCAGTCGCTTTTGGGTGCATGCCTTCTCTGTGCTCAGTTTTGTCATAGCCCATAGCTTTGAAGTGGGAACATGGTCACCTAGGTCCTAGGTCCTAAGTGACAAGTAAGAAATAGTGGAAAATAGCAAGAGAGGTGAGCAAAGTCATTGGAGAACTGTCATAGAGGGTCCTATTTCTGTCACTGTGCCTGGTATCAGGAATGGAGAAGTTTGATTGCTGTCAGATTCTGGAGTATGACTGGGGGCAGAGGAAGAGTCAACATCTTTAACTGTGGCATCAAGGGTTACTTTTTTTTGAGAGAGTTTAAACGAATTTGATGAAAGAGATTTTACGTTTAAACTGCTAAAAAATATCATTTTTTAAAAAGCTGGTAAATATAATATCATTGTCACTATCCCAGGTGGAGCAAGGGACAGAAATCGAGATCTATTAATAGACTCTCTTTTACTTTTTGCAAATATCTTCAAAATCTTCCTGGTGGTGAGGACCAGGGCATGTTTGGTGCGTCTTGGCATGCATTCCTGGCATCACCCCCAGCACAACCTCTGTACCATCTTCTCCAGCAAAGCAAAGCAACCTCCTTTTTATGTTCTGAGCAAAAACGCCCTTCAGTGGTAACTGTTACTCATGCTTCATGGAATTGATTAAAGTCATGTTAAAAGTCAAAAAGAAGTTTGAAAGAACATTTCCTGTGACTGTTGCGCTGTGTGCCTTTTTCTCCATTAATGGCTTTTCTGCAAATTAGCACGTCATGGGTTAAAAGCATGTTTATGTTGGCATCCAACTAGCTGGCCTTTTTTTTTTTTTTAAGCAAAACAGTATTTTGCAAAGTTTTGAAAGAATCTCCAGCAGATATAATCGTGGCGCCATTCACACGACTGCATGGTAGTTAGAGCCATGTCAGCACTTCCAGTCTGAACCCTGCGTTTTAGGGATTTATTACTCAGTCATAAAAACTTGCTCTGGGCTGAAACTTGACATACACGGTTTCAAACCAGGGAGCACATTTTTGAGAGATCTGTTTGATTTTTTTTTGTGGGGGGGAAGTGGGAAAATTAAAAAAGTGGTGATGGGGAACACAATCAGTGCTCACCAGCTCACCAGCTTTTGACATTTTTGCCCATGTGACACAAAAATGCATTAAGCAGTAAAGTACCATCATTTTGATTTATTACTATTTTACCTTTTTTCTGCAACAGAGTAGGAAAAAACAGTGGGTACAGTGGGTAGAATAAACTTTCTAATCAAAGTTTAGAAAATTCCTATAGGTCAGTGTCCTGGTGTCTTTATGTTTAGAGATTCAAAAAAATTGAGACCTTAACTCTCGTAAATACAAATTAACTCATAAACCCAATGTTTGCTTCAGAAAAGGAATGTTTGGTTGTTAGTGTGGCTTGGTTTTCTTGCTGCTGTTTATGAACTGATTTCGCTGCAAAAATCCCGTGAGAGCCACTGCCCTGATTTAGCAAAATGTTTTTCCTGGCCATATGGGTTTATTTATTTTTTATCTTTTAGATATTCTTGTAAAATATGTTTAGTTTTTTTATGTTGAAATCTAAAGCTGCATTACTGAAACAAGGTGAGATATAGCTGAAGTAGGTTTTTAAAAATAACTTTTAACATAAAAATGAGATATATGAAAACTCACTATAAATTGTGGCATTCATTATGAATTTTACCTTTTTATGGTTTTGATTTATTACTATTTTACCCAAGAACATAGAAATCAGCGATATGGTGTATAATAAGTGGAGTAAATTAGAGAGAAACTGACACAGGATATATTCAAAGTAACAAGAAAGGGCCAGAAAGCACAACAAATAAGTTCAATCATCTTGAAAGATATGTAGAAAAGTATTTAATAAGTAAAATTAAGAGAAGTGAACATTTCTATAATAAAAAGAATTAAAAGTGGACCACAAATGAAAACTTATGGTGGATTTTAATTTCGCAGGCCACAGATTCATAGAATTGGACTGTCTTCTAAATTTTGAATAATGAAAATTTCATGCATGTTATTCAAGCTCAGTAGAACAGCTTGAGTACTTTTTGGTAAATTGAAAATTGTCTTGTCATTTGGATGATATGTAAGTTAGAGCCATGTGCTCTACTTTTCATAAATAATCTTTTTTAAAGAACACTTTAAATGCATACACTATGGCAGTATAGTGAGCTGTTGGTTCTTGACAGAAATGCTTCATGTTTTGTGTTGTGAAAACAAGTAAACAAAACATTTGTAGTAATTGTGTTTTCTGCTTAATTAAAAGAAAAATAAAATATGATCGGTGATCCGTGTTTGTTCTGGTAATGGCCTTCTGCTGTTAAATTAATTCCTACATTTTTATGCTGTGAACTTGTTCACAATAATTCATTAGATTTCAGGGATAAGGAACAGGCACAGGAACAGGCATTTCAGGAACCTCGCTCCCCCACCTCCCACGAGAAAGCGCTCAGATTCTGTTTGTTTATTCCTATATTTTGAACTTTGTGGATCTCATGAATCCCCCATTTTTCATGACATATGACATATGACATCTGGAGGGGCTTTATCTATGAATACACTTTTGGTTGTGGTTTTTGGACGCTCCATTATGTTTTCATTCTGTTGTCACAACACTTACCAATTTAAAGATTTTTAAGTATGGGCGGTTTTGATTTTTTTTAATCAAAAATTACTGTGGTCCTGTTTACTCCTAAGTTGAGCATTGTTTATGGCTTTCAAAAAGTACTCATCGGCACATGCAGCTGGTTACTTTGTGCTCACAAATCGCGTCATTTGACCCCCGTTAGACATCAAAGCTGAATATAAAGTATATCCTCTGTTTGCTTCAGTAGCAATTTAATTTCAAGCCAAGCATTGTATTGTCAAACATAATATCTAGAGAGGCAACTGCCCCACCCACTGAACTTGGCCTCTGTGGGCACACTTTGATCAGCCATTTAGGTTTCTCTTAGAGAGAAGTTGTGTGTCTTGAAAGCTGAGATCAAAGTGGCAATAAGCTACAAGGAGGAAAAAAATTACAGAAAATTACACAGACACTATTTTTTATTCAAGGTAATGGACCTGTACAGCAAGATTCAGGTGGAATAGAGATGGCTCAAAGACAAACAGAGACTGGAAAGTTTTTTATATAATAAAAAAAGAAATAAGGGGAAAATTCCCACCTCTTGGTTTAATTTCAAGTCTCAAGTCAGACGTGAGCAGCAGCCAAGGCCATGTGAGTCTTCCTGGCCCACAGTATTCCTGTTTGGTGAAGTTTGTTTATTCATGGAGCACTATTAGCCAAAACAAAATGGACCTGACATTTGGTAGGGTGTTCCCTTTTTGCCTAGTTCCATTTAGTAGTTTCATTGCATTCTTGAGTGAGATAGTTCAAATGCCTCACCTATAGGAGTTTTAGAAAGAAGACTAATGAATTATTACAAAATTACTAATTTGAATGGTTAACTATTGGCCTAATATATTTATCTTTAACCCTTAAAGCAGACTTAGAGTTTAGGTATCATTTTCCCCATTTTATAGATAGAACTACTGCCTGGAGAGCTTCAGTGAATTGATTAAAGTATGAAAGCTAGCCTATGGCAGGGCACATGTCTGCTTCCAGGCTGATTTTGTAGAGTTCTTCAATTCACTGACAGCTCCACCTCTTCCCCCTTATTGAGCCAGAGTCTGAGTGTACACATTGTCCCTTCACCACTTCTCAAACTAGTGTCTGGGCAATGCTGCTCAGTAGAAGTCGGTGGGTTCCTTGGAGAGTCTCAATCCACACTTGTGTATTTAGGGCTCTGGAGATGTAGGGAGCAGAGACCTAGTTCTAACTGTATTTAGGATGCTGGAAACTCTAGGGTAGATTGTGTGAGGAAAAAGTCTCCTGGTGTCATGGATGAACCGTGTTTTGCTCTAATGTTACCTGGAGAGCATTTTCTAAGGTATGGACTAACTGTATCAGAATCATTATAGTACAATAGGGACTCTTAGGTCCCTCCAGATTCTTTGCACTATGGTCTTGGGCAGGGAAGGGTAGGTAGAAAAGGGACAGATGTCAAGAACACTGCAGACTTGAGACCCCCCCCATCCTGACCCTGTGGAGGGACTTCTTGGCAGTTCAGAATTCTTAGAATAGTGGCTTCAGGATACCATTCATCAAATCAAATGACACTTCCCCAAAACATTACGCTTCAAGTTATTATGCTTAAAATATTCCTATGACCAAGTGACCAGGTAAAAATCGGTCCTGGTTATGAGGATGGTTGTAGAAGTGTTTGGGAGACTCCGAGGTGAAGGATTCTACCAGGGACCCCACCTGTGATTGTCACTCACCACCCTCTTCCAGTAGGTTTAACTCCAGGCGTTTCTGTGCTACTAAAAGAGTAATCAATCAACGTGTATTGGAGGCTCTTTGCACCAGATTAACTGGGTCCAAGAGAAGCACAAAGGTGCCACCGACAGTTTCTGCCCTGGGGGGCTTTTTGGGGGGGTGAGGAGGGGGAAGTTCCTAGTCCTTTCCCCAGAGTCTTGTGTGAAACCTGCAACTGAAGGAGTGGTTTATGTTCCCACATGATGATGCTAAAGTGAGCTCACTTTCAGAAACCATGACATGCTTTTAGTTATTTGAACTCACTTTGCCACATTTTGCATCTTCAAACTTAGTTTGATAAGATTAATCATGCTAGAAAAATATGGCAAAAAACAAATGTGGGCGGTTTAATGGAAACATTTATTTGTTTCATGTGCTTATTTAAAGGCAGAAGATATTGTGAGTGAAACCAGGTCTGGAGAGACAATTTCAGTTTTTGAATAGAATCTACAGAGCCATCAGTCAGCCTTGCCAACTAACCATTTAAAAATAAAATGAATTTACTCTGTAGAAAGAAGAAAGGGACTACATGGGTCCCATTATAGATAGTTTCTAATTAAGTAATATTACCAGCTTGACAATAGTCTCTATAAATACATCATTTTATAAATGTATCTATTACGCCCTATTTGAGCTTTTCTTCAAGTTTAGTTCTAAAGAAAATAACATTCAGAACTGTTTGCTAAAAACATACCAATCTATTTTCATTTGTAAACTTCAACTCTTCAAAAGTAGTAATTAGGACAGATACGGACTATTTTCATGGGAACATCTACAAAAGCTTTTGGTGTGAATTTGTGAAAAATTTAGAATCGATATTAAAGATGATTTGCTTTACTGTGTCTTATCTCTCTTGTGATAAACAGTCTTTTTCAAGAGTTGGAGTCCCTTAAGCTTTATTTGTTCATTTTTTCTTTCCTAACCATCTCTTTTACAAAAAAAAAAATTGCCAAGCCCCTCCAAGGGAACTGACAGAGGAAGAAAAACAGCAGATTCTTCATTCCGAGGAGTTCCTCATCTTCTTTGATCGCACGATACGGGTCATTGAAAGAGCCCTGGCTGAAGACTCCGACATCTTTTTTGACTACAGCGGTCGGGAGTTAGAGGAAAAAGATGGGTTAGTTTCTTGTGTGCATATTTTTAAAAATAGCACAAGTTATCTGTTGCTTCTCAATTTATTCATGTATTGACTAGGCAACTTCCACATTTAACAAATCAGAGGCGGGTGAGATTGATCTTGCTGACAGCTTTGACTACGGGTTTTGGTTATAACTTCTGGCTTAGAGTTTCCCTGTAATTATCAGGTGCTTCCGTGAAATGCTTTTGAACTTAATATCTGGGGAGTGGTCCAGGTGATAGTCTGGCAGAGCCACATACATTCATTCTCCTTTGAGAAGCGTTCCTATAAGCAGCAAAGGAGCTGTGTGTTATGGTCACTGGAGCTATTCTTGATGTCTCAGCAAACAGGAAACTGAAGAAAATAAACATGAGATATGAAAGAACTTAACTGATGACTGGAAATTTTTGCCTCTTTTTGGTACCATAAGATTATGTGTATATATAGCTGCCTTTCAGGAAACATATATGCAAGGCTGTGTTAACAGATTTTTTAAAGCCTAATCTTTATTGATTTATTGATTGCTTTTATTAGACAATATCCCCAGTGACCTTCTCTGTGACTGTAGAATATGCATTGGAAAAAAGCAGTAGCTGTCAACCTTTGTCATGGGCTCATAGGAGGCATTTTATGTGCCTTTCACAACATACGTAATGTAACTGCTAAGAGTCACAGATTTCTTTAACCAAGAACAATATGGAAGGTCGGATCACTTGCCTTTTTCATCAAACCTGATTTTCGAAAATTCAAATACATTCTTCAAGGACAATGACTTATCATTGAGGATGCTCAAAGAAATGGAACCAAGAGTTTCAAAAGAATGCTCTGAAAAGGTCCTCAGTAGCTGGCAGCATCTTAGACGACCTTGAAGAAACAGCAATATGAATATATATGAATATATATATTTTGAGTATATATGCACGGCAATGTTAGTTTGCTTTAAAAAGTCATCACTCTGTGACTTAGCTGCTTCTGTGGTCCCATTTTTCTCAGGATGTCTGGCCAAGTACTCTCCCAGGTTCCTGGCAGGACTTGGGTGTGTATATCTCTCGCCTAAGTTTGTGATTGGTGTAGCTGAGGAAGGATTAGCAGGGCCATAAAAAAGTCATCACAGGTGAACTAATGAGAGCCTAGATAACTTGTCTGCAGTCAGGTCGCCTAGTCTGAAAACAAGCCGTGTAAGATTAATGATTTGTGGCCCAAGCCAACAGATGGGACAGATGAGCAGGGGAAAGGGAAGAGTGATGGATTTCGGGACTGAAGCCCAAGCAATTCAGGCAGCTTTCTATGAGAATTCAGTAGCTGCTGGCATGGAACAAGAATGACTCAATTTGAGTGCCCAGCCTTGTAGGGTAGCTGTGTGACCAGCACTGGTTTCCTCGGAGAACAGGTTCTGGCTCATTGAGTTTCAGCCAAATAGATCCCAGTCAGAGTGTCACCCTCCTAGACCTAACTGCTGCTTTGGTCCGTGGCAGGCATGATAAGCCCCTGGACAAGTCTGATGACTCCCCCCACCCCGCCCACAATGCCTGCCTCATGGTGGAGATTGTCACTTACCTTTAGTAAGGAGGTTCCTGCCACAACCGAGCAGAATTTATAGGTGACTCCAAAGAGCATCTCATTTCCGGGCTGAGGATAGTGAAAATGGAACTGATATCAGAGAATCCCCTGGTATACTGTGCTCCCTTGGAAGCAGGGAGATTTCTAAGAAACTCAGCTTCAGGCGGGAACTGGTGAGGGAAAGGAAGCCTAGGGGGAGCCTGAGAGCATCTGACATTTCATACCAGGCTTGGAACATGTGCAGCCATCTCTGGACCAGGTTAGGAAGAGCTGTTCATAAAGTGGTCCATGTTTAGTTTATGTCTTTGGATTAGAATTGACAGTCTGATAGACATTTGGCTTCAGAAAGTTTACACTTTGCATGTCAGGATGCACAGCAGGGAGGAAGCCTGTTCTGAGGCGTCACATTTACCTCTCATGTTTCGACCCTCTAGGGATGTCCAGGCGGGAGCCAATCTTTCCTTCAATCGTCAGTTCTACGATGAGCATTGGTCCAAGCATCGAGTAGTTACTTGCATGGACTGGTCTCTCCAGGTAAGAGTTGTTACTGGGATGAGACACACTGGGCTTGTGTTCTCATGGTATTCGTATTTTAAAAAATAGTAAGAGAGATGTGTTCCTCCACTCTGGATATGTTTACTAACCTAGTTTTCTTCTCCATGCATGTGGGTTTTCTTTTTCATTTTACTGCGGTTTCAGCTTAAGTTATCCACTCAGTTATTTGTATTTATTGAGTACCTGCTATGTGCTAGGTGCCAGGCAGAGAGCTAGACCACGGTGCCCCAGAAACTGCTCTCATTAAGGTCACTATTGATTTCCTATTTGTCAAATCCTGGGGTTGTTTTTAGGCCTTCATCTGCATCAATCAGCCAAGTTGACTTCTCTGTGCCCATAGAAACAACTTCCTTCCAGTGAATTCTATCCGCTCAACTCTACTGTCTTCTAGTTCCCTGAGTTCTCCAAGACCTCTTTTTCCTCAGGTGCCCTTGAGGCCTGCGGTCATACTCTCCCCCTCCACTCTTCCTCCTGGTATGCTCTCTGCAGGAGATCTCTTTCACTGTGAGGAATTCAGCCGCAGCATGGACAGTCTACATTTCTAACCCAGTCTTCCTCCTGACTCTCACGTCGTTCTCCAGCCAGGCCCACTCAGGTGTTCCACAGAATCTTAAACTAATCACTAACTCATTATTTTCACATATCCCAAGTCATTTGTGCCTACCAGATGATCTGTTACTAGCATCCTGAAAGCCTTACACAGAACCTTCGCCATCACCATGATCAACACCTGCCTTTGACCTTTGCCATCACTATTATCAGCTTCTGCCCTTGACCTTCACCATCACCATGATAAACTTCTGCCCTTGACCTTCGTCATCACCATGATCAGCTTCCGCCCTTGAGCTTCGCCATTGCCATTATCAGCTTCTGCCCTTGACCCTCAATCACCCTTATCAGCTTCCGCCCTTGACCTTCACCATCACCATGATCAACTTCTGCCCTTGACCTTCATCACCATGGTCAACTTCACCCTTGACCTTCACCATCACCATGATCAGCTTCCGCACTTGACCTTCACCATCACCATGATCAGCTTCCACCCTTGACTTTTGCCATCACCGTAATCAGCTTCTACCCTTGACCTTCAACATCACCATTATCACCTTCTACCCTTGACCTTCATCATCACCATGATCAACTTCCGCCCTTGACCTTTGCCATCACCATGATCAGTTTCTGCCCTGGACCTTCGTCATCACTGTTATCAGCTTCTGCCCCTGACCTTCATCATTACTGTGATTAGCTTCTGCCCTTGACCTTCTTTATCACCATGATCAGCTTCCACCATTGACCTTCATCATCACCATTATCACTTCCACCCTTGACCTTTGTCATCACTATTATCAACTTTCACCCTTGACCTTTACTGCCACCTTTATCAACTTCCACTCTTGATCCTCCAACACAGGCTATTCCCCTCTGTTCCTTACTCTCAAATGTGTCCATTATCTTACACCTGTCCTGTTCTTAACCTTCTAGCCAGTCTTCCTACTTCCTCACTTGGCCACCTAGAGTTTTTCCTCTGGGCATCTACCCAAACAATCTTTCTAAAATACACTCCCAGGATTAAAACTCCTCATTGTGGGTAGGAAAAGGGTCTTGAGTCAGCATTCAGTACAAAAGCAGGCAAATTTACTAAAAGCCAACCTGCTGAACTGCTAACTCAACTAGGTGACAATATACCAAGCTCTGAGCAGACAAGTAACATGTGCAGAGGTATCTGCCTCATTGCAGTGAGGCCACCGTTGGAACCCAAAGGTCTGATGTCTGAGCTTACATTCTTAACAACATGCTGTGTTCCCTTCTGCAGTGACAATGACATAGTAATGATGAGAGAAGCAGGAATGCTTAGTCTTAGGCCCATATGCACAGCACCATTTCTGCCTTCTTGTAATCTCTGCTTTTATTGAGAATCATGGTCCTAGCTAGCTTTTGATTAGTGCTTCTTATATGCAAAGCTCTGTGTCAACTGCTCAGGGCTTTATCTGATTTCACTCTCATGACAGTCACATGCGACAGCTGCTGGTATTATTTTCAGGTTATGTTTGAAGAAATGGGGACTCAGAAAAGTGAAGTGACTTGCTAAAACTCACTCAGCAAGGACATGGTAGAGTGGAGACTCAAACCCAGGTCCTTCAGCATTCCAAGGCAGGTTCTTAACCACTGCCTCCCACCAAGGGCTTCTGGATCTAACACCGAGTGGGCTTAGAGGGGCTGAGTGAGACAGGGCAAGCCGCACATGCTCTCAGAGATCCATGGTGGGGGGGTCTGTTTCAGTTCAGACATGACTTCTCCTGGGATTTAGACAAGTGGAGAAAGAAGGGGGTGTTTCAGGCAGAGCTGTTAGAGGGGCATAAGAGCAGTGTGTGGTCCTGCTGTTGAGCAGGAGATCTGAAAGGACATCATGTTCCATGACTAGTCTGTTCTCAGCCACCACATGGGTGAGTGCCTGCAGCCCTTAGTCCCCTTCCATATTCGAACAACAAAGAGCACATGAGTGATCATGCAGAGACAAAGCTAGGCAGGGTGCCCCACCTCCGCCCATGTGTGTATATCCTCTGCATATCCTCTGCACACCCTGCTGTGTGCACAGAATCCAGATCCAAGCTCCATGAGACACGTAACTCAGCTTGGTCACTTGTTGGGAGTACAGGAATCACACAGGAACCTTATCTGACACTTTCCTCAAGGGCCAGTGTTCCTGCCTGCTGGGTCAGCTGACCATATTCCCCAGGGAGGCCTGGGGCAAGGCCAGCATCAGTGGGTGAGGCCCCGCCTACCTCAGCAGGGGTCAGGTCACTGGTTTCATTTCCATGCAGGGTCCATGAGATGCTTGTGTTACAGGGACTGAAATGGAAAGGGCAGAAACGCCACCACAGAGAGACCACATTTCTTTTCTCCCCTGTCTGTGTCACCTGCCCACCTACATTGTGGGGACAGGGCTTGCAATTCTGAAAGATGTATTTCATGCAGGGCATAGGGAAAAAAAGCTAGAGCCCTTGGCTCCCGGTCATGATGCTTCTTTGGGGTCCAGTGGACCAGGGTTACATGTGGATGGGATGAAGAGACCTGCATGGATCTAGATGCTATCTAGTGACATTATCCACCATGAGGAAGACAGAGGTGCAGTGCTAGGGTCTTGTGGCAGCATAGATGTCTAGGGTGATTTTCTGAGTGTAGCAGAATGGAACTGGGGGGAAAGGGAGAAATTATGAGGTTTCAATGCAGCTCTGCATTGATCTCCTGGACTTCTTCAACAAGAACACTTTAACTTGCCATGTTTGCAGAATGCCACTCAAGCATCATTCCTTAGAAGAAATTTGGGAACCTGGAGAATGATATCAACTTTGTCATTCCTTGAACATGGCCTGGCACAGTGGGTCAATGGTGCTGTCTGCATGCCCTATGGCAGAGTGTATGGACAAGTGCAGAACCAGACTCAGCCAGCACCTGCCCTGGACTCTCCTCTCACATGAAAGTGCCTTCCAGCCTGGCAACCACACAAGATCAAGCCCAATAAATCGCTGCTAATTCATCTAGCTGCTAAACCCAGTGAAATGTACACCAGCAAGAGACTCCCACTAGCACCAGCTCAGAATCCTAACATGTGGGTGTGACACTTACATTATGTCATGCCCTTGACTTCTTTTTATATCAGGAAATTGCTTCCTACCTGGTCTCCCTACTCCCAGTCTCTACATGGTTAAGTCATGAAAGATTCTTTCATCAGATAGATCTTTGTGAAGAGACTACCTACATCTCTCTGTATCATCTTGGATTATTGTCTGACTTCCCTTAAGTTTCCTCATTCATAAAATGCTGATAATGATAAAACCTCGCTCACATGTTTATTATGAGTTTATGTGTCTAAAAGGCTGAGAATTTAAATGTGTCTGGTGAGTAAAAATTACGCAGTAGTTAACACCTGTAATCCCAGCACTTTGGGAGACTGAGGCAGAAGGATCACTTGAGATCAGGAATTCAAGACCCACCTGTGTAACTAGTGAGACTTCGTCTCTACAGAAAAATAAAAAAATTAGTCAAGCATGGTGGCGTGTACCTGTAGTCCCAGCTACTCAGGAGGCTGAGGTGGGAGGATCACCTGAGGCCAGGAGGTCAAGGCTGTGGTATGCCACGATTGTGCCATTGCACTTCAGCCTGGGTGACAGTGAAACCCTGACTTAAAAAAAAACCACTCAGCCGGGCTCGGTGGCTCAGCCTGTAATCCCGCGCCTTTGGGAGGCTGAGGTGAGTGGGTTGCCTGAGCCCGCAGGTTCGAGACCCGCCTGGGCAGGTGAGACCTCATCTCCACAATAAATCAAAAAAATTAGCCAGGCGTGGTAGCACATGCCTGTAATTCCAGCTACTTGGAAGGCTGAGGCGGAAGGATCGCCAGAGACCAGCAGGTCGAGGCTGCGGTGGCCGGGAGTGGCCACTGCACTCCAGAATGGGCGGCAGTGAGACTCCAACTGCAAAAAAAAAAAAAAAAAAAAAAAATCACTCAGTAAACGCTACACAGTGGTGAGAATAATAGTGGTAGTATTAGTAGTATTAGTAATTACAGAGTGTGACTCTCATTTCCCTCAGAATCTGAGCCTGTGAACTTGCATTCAGTGACTTCCTCCTGCTGTCCAGAGGCGTTTCCAGGCCAGTCTCCTTTTAGGCCTCTTCACATGCCTGCCTCCTGACAAATGCCAAATGCTAATCTCCCTCCTTAGAAGTCACTCCCCAGTTCTCCTGCTGCCACGCTCACCCAGCCAACTAGAGTGGAGATTTCTCTTCTGAGTCTCGTAGGCCCCTATGAGCCCCCACCTCCACATATATCCCGTTCTGTGCTGAGGTTTGCTGGTCATCCCTGCGTGTCTTCCCTCCCTCTCCAAGCGTTCCTTGAGAGCACATTCTTCTGGGTGTTCCTCACCCAGCACAGTGCCCTGAGCATGTTCAGGGAGCACTTGACCACGCTCTGGCAGGCAGAAGGTCAAGGCCGTGGAAGCCCACCATGCTTCAAGTGGGGATCTCTCATGATCTCTCACCAGCAAATCACGTGGAATGGGTTATCCTGCCAGGGACCCTGGGCTACTTCCTCTGCAGAAACAAGTGAAGCATGACATCCTTTGGAGGTCTGTGAGGACCTACTGACTTCAGGTGTCATCTGGCTCAGTGTCTGGGATACAAGGGACACTCACCACTTGTTGGTTTCTTCCTCTCTAGCAAATGTGAGATTTAATTTCACTGTAAGAACAAGTTGGGCTTGAGAACAAATCTGGTAATTCTCTACGTAAAATTCCCCCAGGGTAAACATCATATAATCCAGCTCCAGGAGAAATCAAATGATCACTAATTTCTTAATTGTTTATAGTCTCTTTAAAATCATGATTTTGAATAGCATGATTTAAATAATTGTTTAGAGACCTTTCATTGAAATAAGAAATATGACTTGTCATGTGTAAATGAACAACAATGGAATAAGACACACTGGAGGGCACCTTGAACTAATAAGACCTTGCAGGAGATAAGATTTACATCAGTATCTTTAAGACCTTATAATCACAGTTGTAGAAATTATGCCACAGGCATCTCACTGGTATTTTACTAAAGCACTCCTTGTTTCCAAAAACGTTCTGAAGCTAAATAATTTTAAGTATTTTTAAATAGAATATAGCAAAGCTGGGAGTGGGCACCAGTGATAAGACCCAGACGTGGAGCTGTGGGTCATCACTGTAGACATATCTGGGCTGACTCTGTGGGCGTGGCATTGCTGTTTATAGAGTTGTCTCTGTGCGCAACACCACTGAACTTCAGATGAATGGTCTGGAGCCTGCTGTGTTTATCTGGATGTTGGTTTCTTTGAAAGGCCTTCCTAACAGGACTTCAATGCTACTGCTGAGCCGTGTGTTCTGATTCCTTCCATGGTGGCCGTGCACATGCACATCCATGAATTCTCAGCATGCTGCAAGTTGTCAACCCTGCAGCTGTTACACTGAGGCCACCAAAAGGGTGCACAGAGCACACAAAAGACTTAGAGTTAGTTATTTTGGGTGGAAAAGTGGTCAACATTCACATCTTTAAGGGCTATCTTCTGTTAAATATACACAGCACGGTGGAAAAGAAGGAAAAACGTAAATTTTCTAAGAGAAAAAGGTGACATGATCCTCTGTCATCCTGATGCCATTTTTAGCAGGGCTGCCTTGTGAGAACCCTGGGTCCAAGCAACATGTTCAGGAATGGTGTCCTGGCTCATAAACACCAAAAATACCTCTGACAAGACTATCCGCAATTTGTTTATTAATGCTCAGGACAGAGGTCACAGAGGGTGAGTGGGTCTTCCTAACACCTAGCATCACACTGGAGTCTGTGTTACTTTGCTGATTGTGTTTCTTGCATTTAAGCCTTTAGTTATAGGCGTTGTTTGACAATAACTGATTAAATATAAGGCCTTTCTAATGAGCACAGTTACTGAAATAAAAAGGAGTTACTAAAATAAAAAATTTAAAATAATACAGCATATTTTAGCATGAGTTTTTCATGTGCTAAGAATGACTAGACACTGGATTCAGAGGTCAATAAAAATCAGTCCAATAGCTTATAATCTAGGAAACAGGTGGGGGGAAAGTCATTACACAGCCTGGCAAGCACTTGACCTGCTGGGGACACGTTTTACTTAGTGATCTGGTGATAGGGAGGCAGGGAAGGGATGGTTAGTTGGGATTGTCTGCAGCACTGACCCCGCATAGAGTCTTAAAGGATGAATTGTTGTAAATAACACACCAGAGGTATTCCAATGAGAGGGAGTATCAGACTCCTGAGCTCAGAGGCACTTCAAAACTAGCCCAGCAAGGCTGAGTTACAGGGAGTGGGGGGCAGGAAGAGGGAGGGAAGGTAGACAATGACAGGTCCTGGAGGGTTCTGCATGGCCCTGAGAGGGACCAATAAGCCAATCAAATTAAAATGTGTTGAGCTGAAGAGTGACTTAGCCAGAGGCATGTTTTATGAGTCTTCCTGACCCGGGATGGAGTCGAGCAGGTGAGGGTGGAGATCGGCCCCCCTGGAGGCAGGAAGTCATTTAGAAAGCAGTGCCTTTTCTCTCTCTCTTTCTAATTTACTTTCTAGTCATTGCTTTGGTAAACTCCGGCGTGTTCATGTGGCTCTTTGAGCTACGGCCACCATGTTTCTTGACTTTGGCCCCCTCTCCTACTTTGGGGAGATGAATCCATTTCTCTCTCTCTAATTTACTTTCGAAATAAACTATATTTTCTAATCTAAAAAAAAGCAGTGCCTTCATCCAGACAGTAAGTTAATTTAGGAGGTTCTGACATTGAGAAGAGAAAGAAAACAGCATTTGAAAGGTATTGAGACCAGGTGCGGTGGCTCACACCTATAATCCCAGGACTTTGGGAGGCTGGAGGATCACTTGAGGACAGGAGTTCAAAACCAGCCTGGGCAACATAGTGAGACCCTGTCAGAAAAAAGAAATTAAAATAAGGAAGGTATTGTGGTATTGAGGAATGTATGTAATAGAAGGAGAGCATCTAGGAACTCCACCAGTGGTTAGGAAGGATAATCAGGGAAAGGTTGTAAGGGAAGCCTGTGCAGGGGAGAGAAGGAAGCTACCCACAGCACCTGGTCATGCCGGGGCTAAGCCGTGTCTGGCGTCTGCTAGCCAGGGGTGACTCCAGTGAGCACATGGGGAGGGCGGGAGGTGGGAGCCAGCCTGCAGGAGGCTGAGCAGGCACTGAGACTAAGGTGCCGCCATGCAAGGCCCACGTCATTCCCAATGTGTGTCAGTGGGAACAACAGGGTCCTCCCTATGCCGGGCTCTCGCGTAATCTGTCCTTGTGACCTCTCTCCCCAGTACCCTGAGCTGATGGTTGCCTCCTACAACAACAATGAGGATGCGCCCCATGAACCAGATGGAGTGGCCTTGGTGTGGAACATGAAGTTCAAGAAAACCACGCCCGAGTATGTCTTCCATTGCCAGGTAGGCATCAGCGTTGCCGAAATGCCCGGCGTCTCCCAAGTCCAAATACAGTTCTCACCGTGCTGCATCGGCCTAACGTTGCGGGGAGGAACTGAGCTTAGAAATGAAGTTGGTGACCGCTTGGGAAATCCCCCACAGTCACCTCATGTGTGGGGAAAGTGGCGATCCTCCTCCACAGTTAAGAAGCTTGGCTGGGGATGGTGTCATTGTTCTGTTGAAAGCAGCATTTTTTTCATGTATCTGTTGGCTGCTCGTATCTATAAGAAAGGAATTGGCAGCACTGGGACACTGCTGGGGAAGGGGGACACATAACACTTTACCTGTATGATGGCCACGAATGTACCTAACCCTGAATTGTACCCATTTAAAAAATAAAATAAAATGGCCGGGCTCGGTGGCTCAGCCTGTAATCCCGCGCCTTTGGGAGGCTGAGGTGAGTGGATTGCCTGAGCCCGCGGGTTCGAGACCCGCCTGGGCAGCGAGACCTCATCTCTACAATAAATCAAAAAATCAGCCAGGCGTGGTAGCGCATGCCTGTAACTTCGGCCACTGGGAAGGCTGAGGCGGAGGGATCGCCGGAGCCCAGCAGGTTGAGGCTGCGGTGGCTGGGAGCAGCTACTGCACTCCAGTCTGGGTGACAGAGTGAGATTCCAACTCAAAAATAAATAAATAAATAAATAATAAAAAATAAAATAAAATGAAAAAAAGCAGCCCCACAAGGACAAGTGTAGATCTCGCCCTGAGAAAGAAGCTGTGGCCTGCCACTGCTTCTGTTCAGCAGCAGCCCACACTCAGCCCCCAACAGGGCATCCTCCCAGTTCTGCCTTTCCCTGTCCCCTGCCCTCTCTGAAATGTGGCTCAGTGTATTGGACCCATTTTAAGTTTACCAGCACCATATTGCTTTCGTGATAATAATATTTTTGTAGTCAGTTTGGAGGACGACTTACAACCGATGTCTCTTTAATTGTTGGGAAAGGGAGATTCAAATTCCAGTTTGGAAATGCAGGTGGTTTCCAGCTGTGTTGTGTGTTTAGCCTCTGTCTCTGCAGACATGCACGTCTTCTCTTCCGCTTGTCACAATGCAGGCTGAGATGATGCCACACTTGTACATGTGCTGCTCCATTGCCATCACTCTGCCTGAGTAACAGGCTGTAGCAGTGGTTGGAACAGCACGTCCTTTATTAATGCTCCTGGTATGTGATTATGCACAGGAAAATGAAGCCCAAACATTGCAACTCCAAGTTCCGTTCTTCGAATGTCACAATTCAGAGGGACTGATGGCAAACTCTTCTAGCACAAAGACATCACATGAAGAGGGTGGGTCACCCTGGTGACTCTTGGAAGCTCAGTGCCATCTTACCTCCAAGATCCAAGGGGCTTTTTGAACTACAGTATGTTTAGACTTCAGGACATTATCAGATACAATCTGGGGGACGGGAACTGCTGGCATAGGAGTCCCAGCCGCAGCCTGATTGAGGAGCCCCTCGCTGGCCATGTTTTTCTAATTTGCTATTGCAGAAGCAAGAAGTCTGGGTCCACATAGTAAATAACCTCTTTTTCTGAACCTTTGAAATAAGAACAGTTTTTTTCTTTTTTTCTTTTTTTAAGATTATTAAGTCAGTCTGATATGCTCTTTCTGTAAACACAGAAGCACAAAATCCTAATTTTGTTCAGTTTTAAGAGGTTTGCAGAATTGCCAAGGAAATGCTATAAAGACTTTGGGACAAGGAGAAACACATTTTTGAAAAACAACACTCTCTAAATTATTTTGATATTGTATAAAGCATACCTTTTATTTTAAAAATCTAACAAATCACGCATTGTTTTAACCAACATCCATGATCTTTATCATAATTATACATTTTTTAAAAAATTGTAATTATATTGACTAATAGGTCTTTGGTACTACCTAGAATTTTTAAATGGCCTGTTTTATCACATGACAATAGTTAACACTAATATTAATTGAAGGGAGCGTTTTTTGTATCTCTGGGATCATTTACTAAAGATTTCACCAACAAACATTTAACTTAATTTTTTAGCTTCTCCCTTAAAGCATCCAAAATATATATTTTAGAAGAAAATGTACTCATGGTTTTTTTTAAAAGCAAAAAGTACCCTAAATATAGTCAACAAGAGAGGCTCATCAGAGCTACTGCAATGCTTAGTTTACTTTTGCTATCTCTATATCTTCCAAATTCCAACTGCAATCTTCACTTCATCCATGAGTAGAGCAGGTGGGGTTCAGCGTTGCACGCCCTTGGAGATGTGAGAGTGCTTCTGCTGTTAGACCTTGGGTCTGATTAAGTAACATTGCCAAAGACTGTGATGACACTGAGATTCTGGCATCCAGTGGAAGCTGGCCAATTTAACATCCACATCAGTGAAGCCATTGAGAGTCAGGATTGTGTTACTCGGATATAAATGATGAGTTGTTCATATAAATACCCCTTAATATTCATGAAGGATACATTTAGAAAATCTTGTGGAAATCTAGATTGCCGAGTACCACCATACTACCCAATTTCTGCCATCCGTTAATTCTCTTAAAGTTATCTAACTGCAGAACTGTAGGGCCAAAATGTAGGGTCAGGTCTGAGAGGGTGAAAGGGAGGGAGTTTTGTTCCCTCTCAGGAAAGGAGAAAAGGGAAGGAAGAGTTTCGCCCTCTTCCCAGGACCTGGCTTATTTGCCAGGCTTCTTCAAAGAAACAGAACCAACAAGAGAAACAGCAGGGAACCGTGAGATTTTCTAAATGTGTCCTCCGTGGGTGTGTTTGTGCATGTATATACAGATACATATATATATAGAGAGAGAGAGAGAGAGAGAGAGACTCTACTATGCCCAACTAATTGTTGTTGTTGTTGTTGTTGTTTTTATTTTATTTTTTGTAGAGATAATGCCTTACTTTGTTGCCCAGGTTGGTCTCAAACTCCTGACCACAAGCCATTCTCCCACCTCAGCCTCCCAAATTGCTGGGATTACAGATGTGAGCCACTGTGCTTGTCCTCACAGCCTGCACATTTTTTTTAAGTCCCTAAGTGACTTGGACATGCAGTAAGAATTGTGAACCATGGCACGGAGAGGAGAGTGAAGGTGGGGGCAAGATGGCAAAGCTGGTCAACTTCCACTCTCGTCTCCACATTCCCCTCTTCCTCCTTGGCCCAACCTGGGGGCGTTTCCTGCCTTCATTCCCATGATGCCTATCTCCTGCCACCCCATTGGAGGAATGTCCTGACCAGTCCCCCTTCCCCTCCTGCCCTGTCCCACCCTTCCCTCTAATTCCCTCCTCCACACACTCCTTTTCTCCAGCTCAGTGGTGCTGGGCTCTGTTTGTGGTGGGTGGTCAGGAGACCCCACACTGTGTATCCAGGACTGGACTCAGGGACACACGGATCCTGACGTGGGGACCATGTGCATCTAGAGTGCTGCTTCTCTCGGGGTGGGGAGACAACTTGACACAGTAATGCCCGTGACGCTGGGATAGAGGCCACAGTACTATCACTGGCAGCTGAGGAAAAACACAAGTTCTGCACTACGGAGTATTCCCAAGCTGCTGGGAATCGAGTCAGGGTACTTGGGCAGTCCGGGAAGTTGGAGATGAGCCCATGGACAGGGGCTGGGTGGAGAGAAGACAGAATGAAGGCACCATGGCCGCCACGCGCTGACTTTCACAACTGTAGTGAGGTCTGCATTAACATCCTGCCAATGCTCTGCCTCCGTGACCTCCTTGACCCATACAACAGGGAGGCAGAAAAATGCCATGATGCTCCTTTCCAGCTGAGGGCCGTCACACTCGAAAGTCGCCCAGCTAGCAAGCTGCAGAGCCAGTTCTGCCTCGGAGGCCCCTACCACCTCTATCAGCCACCTCAGCCAGTGTCTGAAGGGGCAGGCCTGGCACTGGAGAGAGATGGTTGCATGGCCCACTCGGGGTGTGATTTTACAGCCTCCCGTTGCTAAGTGTGGGCTACACGCAGGCTACCTTGGCTACTCTCTCACCCCAGAGAGAAATCTAGAGAGCTCATGGAGTTAAAGCACACATTTGAAAAACCAAAACCCTCGCTCGCTGGCCTCTAACTTCTCCTACGTCCTTTCTGATCTGTCCTTTCTGATCTTATTTATTACAGTGGATCCTTTCTGGACACAAACTCGCCGAAATCAGGTCATCTGAGTGTGCTTCCACGTTCTCCTGTAATGTTCCAAGAATTTCAAGCTGAGGCCATTGCCTTGCTAAGCTATGGTCTGGCCATGTGTTCTTTGAGCTATGGCCTGGTCATGTTTTCCTAAACTTTGGTCCCCTCCCCTACCTTGGGGTGGTGAATCTCCTCTCTCTCTCTCTCTCTCTCTCTCTCTCTCTCTCTCTCTTTCTCTAATTTACTTTCTAAATAAACTATATTTTCCAATCTAAAAAAATTTTTTTTCAAGTGGAGACAATTGGTTTGCCTAGTCAGGGTAGGGCCAGGGAACAGCATGGTGCCGTATGATGACTGCACTTTCATAATTTGGAAATCATTGCATTAGCTCTCCATGTCTGGATGTTCTCTGCTGATTCTTCGTGTTTTTGAAAAGTGCATAATTGTAAGCAACTCTGGTGGCTCAGAAGAGCAATGTTTCAGGGCCTGGAAATCAAGTGCCCAGGGAACTTTTCGCTGTTCTGTAAAAGCTGATGGTGCTTGGCCTAATCGTGAGAAGATTTTCGAGTATAGAGATGAGTAGCAATGCCAGGCACCTGGTTCCTTTGGGGTGTCTTGACTAAGCTCAGCTTTGCATGTGGGCGCCCGTCTGCAGTTTCTATTTTTTGATTTGAGGAGAGCTGACCTTGCTTAGAAAACCCCGGTGGACGCCACATGGGAGCCAGGCGCTCGGCCCGGCGCATGCTGGCAGGCCGCCTGCCGCCTCCAGTGGTGGCCCCGCACACTGTCATTAGGGTGTGCGCCGGCCACCCTGTGCTGCCTGCCCTGGTGTGGTCTCTCTCTTCTAGGCGGAATGAATGGAATCAGAA